TGAAGAAATAAATAAACTAAATAAACTAATATTTAGTTTTGTTTTCTACTGAAGTGACAAAAAAAAGAAACGTTATTTTTATTTAATAAACAAGTGATTTTGCTTATTAGTTTGTTTTTACATATACTTACTTGTTGTACATCTCGAAGTTTATCACTGGAAGCCCCCACCACTACACAGGCCTCCAGCAGCCCAGACGGGAGCTCTGCCATCATGTCAGAGGACACACACTGCCACAAACACAAAAGGCATCAATATGGTTTTTCTTTCCGTTGCTTTGAGGATCACAACAGCGAGCGGCATCACTGGAAAGACTTTRTGCAGGGTGCCCCTCCTGACGCAGCCTGGAYTCAAACCTACAGCCTAAAGACCGTGGCTCTGACCACCAAACTACTGCAATCTCTGTGATATTTTGGCACAATATAATTTAAGCAAGTTCCATCTGGAAAACAGCTGGAACCGGTGTTGCACATTAACGAGGAAAAGATGTGTTCAGTGTGATTTTCATCCTAATCGGTTTCTGTAAAGTGCTGACGGGCCAATCTGAATTTCTCTTTGAAGAGCTGTGACTGAAAGCATACAAAGCTTTTGCAAATTTCTAAATGAGCAGAAAATTTTGATCCCTGCTGCAAAATTTTCCCGATTTGTTCTCCATCGCAAAAGTTTCAAAACATTACAGTATGTAGTTTATTACATGGTCTGGCAACAAGTTAGTTTTGTTTACCAGAGGTCTGGTGTGAGAACTAATGTTTTAATTGGTCTGGAGTGATGTCATTGGGAATTACAGCCCTATATTTAAAAAGGGGAATCCCAAATTAAGTGATTTCCCGGCACTCTACGACAGCTGGAAGAAAATGACAAATTTCAAAGAAAAAAAAATTAAGTTTTTTTTCTGAAGACATACTGTACCTATTAAAAACCTTCAACTGAAAAGAAAGATTAGAGAAATTATGATATTTTAGTTACAGGGTTTGTAAAATTTGTTTTTTATTAACTAATTTTTACAAAAATCAACATTTTTGCGCTGCATCCTGAGCTCATTCTGACTCATTTTGGGAACACAGATCATAGTTTTAGTCAACTTGCAACAAAATGACGCATTTTAAAATTTTACTGTTCTGAAATAAACTCTACTAAATCATACAGAGCGTAACAATGGAAACTAAAACTGCAGAAATGCCTCAGCAATTTATGCTTAAARCATGACTAATGAAAGTTTCCCACACAAACTGCTGAGTTTTACAGATGTGACAAAACAACGGCATGAGTCG